GGAGAGGCAACCAATCAATGATTCTCTCTCCCCCTTCCTCTCTGAAATCAATAAAAAATATTTTTAAAAAGACTACAAATTCCAGTTTATATAGCCCAAATATAAATCAGTTTTAAAATACATATTGAGGTAAAAGGTCAGGATTACTTTTTATAATTAATTTTCAATGAAAATAATTATCAGAAATTTTGAAAGAAAACAAATTTGTAAAAAGTAGATTAAAAATTAGTGTTTATTTTGATCTTAGCTAAAGATTTGCCTACAAGGTCAAGAGCCTGCTTTCTGGGGTAGACTGAGAAGGCAGAAAATAAGTGTATTATTGTGTTAAACCATTTATAATAGAACCTGCTTTTATAGGAAACTACTAGAGGCCTGGTGCACGAAATTCGTGCACTGAGGGGGAGGCTGTCTCTCAGCCCAGCCTGTACCCTCTCCAATCTGGGACCCCTTGGGGGATGTCCAACCGCCTGTGGGATCGGGCTAAAACCAGCAGTCGGACATCCCCCTCAAAATCCGGGACTACTGGCTCCCAACTGCTTGCCTGCCTGCCTGCCTGATTGCCCCTAACCGCTTCTGATCACCCCCTAACCACTCCCCTACCAGCCTGATTGATGCCTAATCGCCCCCCACTGCCCTCCCCTGCTGGCCTGATCCCCCACAACTGCCCTTCCATGCCGGTCATCTTGTGGCTGTGGGCACTGCCATCTTTGAGGGTGGGGCAGTGAATTAGCATATTCCCTCCTTATTGGCTGTGGGTGCCGCCAAGTTTGTGATGGTATGAGGGTCAATTAGCATATTCACTCTTTATTAGAAAGGATAGTTCTTAAAGTGCAAATTCTACTGTGAATTAGAGAAATAGATCAAGGATGCCACCAAAGTGTTACCCTGAACTATAGGAAGATTGATTTACCACCTACTCACATGAGGAAGAGTATGAAAGGTGCAAGCTTGAATGAGAAATTTGGAGGTATGTTTTTGAATATGTTAGGGTAATTCTGCCTTTAGACATACAGTGGAGATGTTGAATAAGTTTGCTATACCATCTGAAGATCAGATAAGAGGTCAGGACCGAAGTTGTCATCATAGAAATTGTACTTAAGACCCAAAACTGGGTTAGTCCACCTGAGGACTTAATAAATAGCTATAAGAGAAAGTCCAGTCCAAGGACTGAGTCCTGAGCCACTCCTACATTTGGAGGTTGGGACATGAAGAACTGACACCAGAGATAGAGAAGGAGCTTAAACCAAGAGCATGTGGGTCCATGAAAGGAGTGCTTCGAAGGAGGGAGTGGTCAACAGTGTTAACTTACTGACAGATAATAGGATGAAGACTGTGGCTTGGCCCTGGGATTTGGCAATAGGGAGCTCACTGTGTTTTTAACAGAATAGATTCTGGGAGAGGTGAAAAATAAAGCCTGATTGCAAAAGTTTCAACAGGCAGGTGAGGAGAATTGGAGACAGCAAGTATGACAGCTCTTTCAAGAATTTTGGCTATAGCAGAGAGTGAGAAATAGCAGAGGGATACTACAGCGTGTATGGATACGCATATGCTATAAGTGATCCAGTAGAGAGGAGAAAAAATGGTGATTCAAGATAACAACCCTTCCAACAAACCCTAACAAGGTATACTTTCTGTGATTCCATTGGATTAAAGAAATTAGCATTTAGTTGGGGAAGTAGATGTATTGATGTTTTTTCTTCTTCATATAAATCCATATCAAAAAGTCTGTTACATATGCATATTTTAAGAAAAATATTTTTAATGGAGCCATAACAGAACCATTGAAAAGTGGATAAAATTGTCTTTGCTCCAGGCCCTCACTTCTGCATTCCTCCCATGAAAGATAATGAAAAATCTTGTGTCCCTAAAATTCAGCTAAAAAAATTCATGCCCTGGGATTAATGACTGTGTTACTTCTCCAGTAGTATTTTAATTTACAGAAATATTTAGGATAAAACTATATAAGAAATTACTTCAGAATAATCTAGTTGGGGAAAAGAGATAAACTGGGTGGGGAGAGAGATAAAAAAAAGTTGGCTCTGAGTTGATAGTTCATTTTAAAGCTGGGTGATGGGTATATGGCAATTCCTTATACCATTATCTCTTCTTCTGCATGTGTTTCAAAATTCCCATAATATAAAGCTAAACATTAGAAGAAACATAGTGTCAATACCATGCTTAATCCAAATAAATCCATTAAATGGTGAAATTTCAGATAATTTGGTAACAGGTAAATATTTGGGGGCACAGGAATTTTTTTGGCTTTTTCTAATCTTATCAGTTATTTTGTTTTTATATACAATACAAACTTATTTTTTTACTCAGAAGGTGCCTCAGTTGCTTTAAGATAGAATTAATTTGGATTCCTATTGCATAAATAATTTGAGACTGGATTTTTATAAACAAAGGCTTGGTTCTCTTAAACATCTTCTCACTTTAGGTAACCATAAAAAAACTTAAGAACATGTATGTTACAAAATATGTTCTGAGGTAAAGTAATACTACAGTTAAAAAACAATGATAATCTAGTTGGTTGTTACTTAAAAGAATAAATAGTTGATTATACACAGAAGGTGAAATCACATAAGGTTAGATTCCTGGTCAGTGCACATGCCCAGGTTGCAGGTTCTGTATGGGAGGCAACAGATTGATGTTTCTCTCATATCTCTCCCTCTCCCTCTCCCTCAAATCAATAAAAACATGTTTTTAAAAAGTTTCTAACCTTTCAAAAGTAGCAAATGTAGAAACAACAATGTTGCTACCTTAAATCTTCAAATAGTAACCACTAGGTATTCTTTAGTGCAGGGGTCCTCAAACTACGGCCCGTGGGCCACATGCAAATACAAATATTGTATTTGTTCCCGTTTTGTTTTTTACTTCAAAATAAGATATGTGCAGTGTGCATAGGAATTTTTTCATAGTTTTTTTTTTAAACTATAGCCCGGCCCTCCAGTAGTCTGAGGGACAGTGAACTGGCCCCCTGTTTAAAAAGTTTGAGGACCCCTGCTTTAGTGTATTCCAGTTACTCATTAATCACTCTTTAGTGTTATTGTTACAAGAATTGTCAGTAATTTTCACCAGGGAAAACTGAATAACAAAGTCCAATAAATTTCCTAGATCAGAAGAATATTCAGATTTTATTAGTAGCGTTCTTATTACTCGTTATATATTCATTAACAAAAGTTCACTATGTAATTTGGGACCTATACATTCTACTTCAAAAACTAAACCCAAAGGTATGTTGTTGTGCAGCTTATGGTTTCTTTTGTATGGCTTTAATGCCCTCAACAATTCCTTGGTGTAAACTACTGAGCAAGGGAACAAGATTTCCTTTGTAACTGATACCTAAATTTCTATTCTGCTTTAAGCGTCTAATTTGCACTGTGAAGACATATAATTTGAGCCTTGTAGCTATATCACAAAAGTACAACAGTTTATGCTGATCTCTAATTTTCTGAGTTGTGCTGGCTATAATTTAAATTTTTTGCATGTTTTTAACTGCAATGCAAACCAGTATACATGAGAAACCTTTGTATATTGACAGAGGCTGGGAAAAAGATGCCTTGTTCTGATTTCAGATAAGCATTCCCTTTTCACAACAGCAGGTGCAAGGGAGCCCATTCATAATATTTGCTTCAAGTCAGTTATAGTTACTGACTAGAAATGCAATGCTCTTACAGGAGAACTTGACTAATCATCACAAGCCCAATGAATAAAAATTATTACTATTATTAACAAATTCTAGAGGCAAGTAGGACTTTTTCCTTCGCCTATGAATTGGGGACATAATATATGCTGTTGACACAATTTTGGTCATTTTACTATTGTGTGTCTGTTTACTAAATCTAGAAAAACACTTTGTCACTTATTAATACAGGATGGAATTATGCTCAGTGGAAAATTTGCTGTAACAAATGCATGTTCCACTTAAGAGATAATTGATAATGAATGTTATGTTTTCCTTTGCCTTAAGTTTCACTTATTTTTAAATCAACACATAAGGCAAAAAATAACCACAAGATAAAAATTTACTCTAATTGCTCTCATTTCACATAAGTGGGTAAATTCCTTTTGAAACATATATGAGACAACTATATAAGCAACCAAGTGAAGCTAGCTGGATGTTTCCATTAGAAACCCTTATTTATAAGGTTATGACTTGATCATTTTAATTAGCTTCAGGCAGAAACTTGGCACACCGGTTCAAAGCATTGGAGAAAATTTTGGTCTACAAAACAATTAATTCTTCCTCAACAGGAGAGGTCAGAGAAAGGCTCTAATAGAGTTTAAGGACTGGATGGCCACACACAGATAAAGTAAATTAAAAAATAAACTGCAGCAGTAATCATTGCCTTGGCAAAAATAAGTATAAAACCACTAAGAACACATCCTAAATTGATGATTATTACTATTACTTATACTGCGTTTGCTAGTAACCTAGTAGTGTCACCTAACATTTGCATATAATTCAAAAGTGTCAAAACGCTTTTGCACTTTTAATTCATTCAGGCTGAGCACTGTGACAGAAGAAACTTGTATGCTGCCATCCTTTTCCTTCATGTCCCCCCAAAACAGAAGACTCACTCCTGTTACACCCATTTATCCTCAGCCTTGAATCAGATACCAGCTAGTTATTAGACCCACATGCTAGAAAGATGTGGAGCATCTTTAAGGATCCCTTCAAGGATGGGGCAGAACCCCTACTGGCTTCTGTAAATACCACTGCCCACACTTCCAAACGTCCATTCTATTACTGCTTTCCCAACATCCAGGAGCAACACACAGTATCCCCACTTATAATTAGTGATTGATGTCACTCCAGGGCGTTCATGCCACATGTGATGGGGGATAGTGCCACACACCACCCTTCTGAAGTTCTGTGGGCAGATGGAAGGAGACTGACACCCGGCCACTTAACTGGCCGGGATGCTCCTCAACCCTTGCAAGACCTTTGAGGAAGAGGAGAAAACAACACACACACACACACACACACAACTTACCACTTTGGCCCAGTCCAAGAACAACTGAAAACACCCAGGCCGCCCGGAGGAATGGGGTAGGACCGGGCCGGCAGTTTTGAAGGCAGACAAATGAGGCAGTAAGAAAAGCCAGGGCCGAGCAGCACATAATGCAAAGCAGCCCACACAGCGCCCGCCGCTTGGCTGCTCTCTGGATGCGCGCTCGCGCCTCCCAGGCGCACCTTGGGGCCCGCGGACCAAGTGTCGCTAGGATGTTTCCAGCAGGCCCGGCAGGCGGACCCCGCGGCTCGAAAGAAGCGGTGCAGGTACGCTGGCCCAGGCACTGCTCGGCATCTCAGGGCCCCTGCGGCCCTCCCAGCTCGGCGCGGTGGGTCCCCGAAATCTCCGCGAGAAGCACCTCCTCCGACTGCCAAAGGCTCGGGGCGGCAACGCGAGCGGGGCTCCGCAGCCAGCTCTGGGACAAAGAAAAGAGCTTTTGTTTCTCTCCAGCCGACGGGAATTCTGCTGCATAAATCAGCTTAGCGAAGAGCCAAACACAATCAAACCCAAACAAAGCCCGAAGCTGGGGGGAAAAACCAGCCTAATGTACATTCACCCGGTGATGCTGCATCTGTGGGAGGGGACGCCAGAGGGGAAAAAAGTCAATGTCGCATCAATCAGCGCGAGCTGCTTCCACAGGTGGGCAGGGAGGCCAACTCCACTTAGTTGCAGCTTTGCAGCCTCGTTAGTTGACCAGAGGACAAAGTAGAAGTGGCAGCGTCCTTGCTGGCCGGGAGGAAGCTTGGGGCGCCAGCGGCCAGGGGAAGCGGCTCCGGGAGCGCCCTAATAGTCCCCCTCGGCGCTGGCCGACTCAGAGCGAGGCATCGCAGCTCCCGGCTTGGGTAGGAGTGGAGCGCACCGCTGCGGGGGTGCTAAAGCCCGGCCTCGGGGGGGCGGGAGCTTCGTGCCCTCGTTCTCTTGGCCTCAGTGTACAGCTCAGATGTCCGGCCGTCCAGAGCCCAGGCTGTTGGCGCGCTCAGGGGTGCACCCCGTGAGGATGAGAGGGAGACCAGTTGGTGGGGAGCAGAGAGGTGTGGCCCTGCCCGGGCCCGCGGGTGCCGGGGGTAGGGGGGGTGGGTGACTCCCTATGTGCTGATAGTTGCGCGCGCTCGGGGCCCTGAGTTGCTAGGAAACCGCCCCACGCTATGGAGCGCTCGGCCCCGGCAGCCGAGAGGCTCCGAGGCAGCTCGCTGCAACAGCAAAAGCTCGGAGTAGCGTGGGCGGGACATTAGTGAGGCATGAAGTCACCGCGGCCCACACTCGCTCTTTGTTTTGCTCACTCCAGCTCTTTCTCTCCCCCTTGACTTTAATGGTTGCCATTCCCATAGTTCACAAGAACTCCTGAAGTGTAGCCGCACAACAGGAATCGCACGCCCTGTTCTTTTCCTTCTCCTCCCCGAATTCCTGCTCCCTAACGCTCGCCTACCGGGTGCAGAGGCTGGCTCAGCGCAGGCGGCAGCTGCGCGCAAACCCCAGCCTCTCGCCCCGGGCTCTGCGCACTCCTTTGTTTGGAGATACCCAATGCTCGGCAGCTGCCGCCTGCGGAGCGGAGTCCCGGAGCCTCACCCCACCTCCAACACCCTAAGTTCTGGGAGCGCGCGCTGCCTACTTTGCTTGCAGAGTCAGGAGCTCATCCTTTGCCCCACCCCAAGACTGTCCCGCGTCTCCCCAACACTTGGGAAGTTGATCCGTCCAACCAGGTTAAGGTGAAATATGCCGGAGTTTCCAGTCTGCAGGAGCTGCACCAGCAGCTGCTGGCTGGAATTTCTCGTGGCTCCTCCACTCGGAGCATCAACCCTGGGCTGGGCAGCCCTGCTCTTCACAGGGTCTGGTGGTGGCTCTGGGCGTTTGCTAGTTTACCTTGGGTCTTTTGAACTAAAAGTCAACTTCCCAATAAACAGAACAAAGAAGTTACAAAGGCCGGCGAAACAGGGGAGAGAAGCAGCGAGGGAGGGAGGTGGGATGGCATTTCTGCTGCTTGCAGATCAGAAATGTAGGGCCTGCAGTGAGGGGTGTTTTGCTGGGCAACTGCGGGGGAAGCCATGCGCCTCCTTGAGTCCTATCACTAACAGGCTAGGCCGAGGGAGAAAACGCAGTCCTCCGGATTGAAAACAAGACACTGTTTCCAGTCAGACCCAGAGTGATGCTTCCCTTTTACCTCTAGGGGCAGGAGTGGTTCGCCCTGGTAAAGTCTGACCTCCTGTTTCCCACTAGCTGCCTGCCAACCTCTTTCAAAGAGCAGCCTCCCCTTACGGGCATCAGACCCGTCCAGCCAGGTCAAGGTGAAATATGCCGGAGTTTCCCTCTTCACTTGCTCAATAGTTTCTGTCTCCATATTTGGAGTAAAAAATAAGTAGGAGGCGTTCTCTCTTTTTTCTTTCTGTTTTCTATTTGTTAACTGAGTGAATGGAAAGTACCTGATTAATAAACCACAACATTGAAACTCCCCCTTTTCAGGTGTGGACTGCACATTGAAGCCCACAGAATTAGCTAAGCAGACCAGGAACCCAGTTGGAAAATTACAAGTGCTCTGGATCTACAAAGCAGGTTTTTTTTTGTTTGTTTTTTTTGAGAGCCCAAATGAATAATTCAAACCTGAAAAACTGGTACTTGTAAGCACAGTTCCACTATACGCAATGTACTCTAAATATGTACAGTGAAATCCAGCTCAGCTTCATATTTATTTTCTTTCCTTAGTTCCAACTTTGAACAACTCTAGTTTTGCTTTTCCTGGTCTTAAAGGAAAGGCCTGAGAAGTGGCTGGATGAGGAAGAGGACTTGAAATTTGAACACAAAATGAACATATTCAAACTCTAATTAGTACTCTTTAGTGGGGTAGCATGTATATTTTCCAGAGATTATTTCACAGTCCAAAGGAATGCAGCCACCCTTGAGACAGTGCAGTGCTATAATAGAGAAAAAAAAGCCATAATCCCTATAAGGGTGTATGTGATGTTCATTCTATATTGTAAAGAAAGACTTACACATTTTGTTTTATGAAGCCCAGGCAAATATATGTCAGGATGCCACTTTTATGGAGTTGTTAGAGAAAAAGTACAGCATCATTTATTACCACTTCCCAGTTTCAAAAAGATTATAATCCGGTTATCAAAATAAAATAAAACAGAATATCCCAGTTGTGAGGCTGTGATCCTTGTAAGTTATTTACAAACAAGTTATCTGTAAATTTTGGGCTATAACGTTAAAAGTGAATTCTCTCGAGTCCTGCAAATAATCTGTAGTTTTCTTACAGGAAATATAACTAGTGGCCTAGAACAAAAAGTTTCCTTGTTTTTAATAAATGCCATCGGTCACCACAATTCATTCTTTTTCCTGTAAGAAAATGTACAGAATATTGTGAAGAAATGTGATATCATCTTCCTCATATTACCTGAAAAATTCTAACAGAGAGAAAAATGTTCCAGATTAATTCCTGTCTTTATCATGTTCTGCTGTCTTGCTTTGAAATTTCTGACAGCTAATTTTTCATCATTTGTGATAATGAGAGCAAATGAAATTCACAGATAGTGTAAAAGTAGTAACATGTTAGCTATTCATTCCAGCCTTCCTATCATCAGATTCTTTTAGTTGTTAATAAGTCCTAAAATTAAATGAATTAAGTTTCTTTCCTACTACTTTAACCTTGATTTCTCACTAACTCAGTTTATGGTGAGAATGAATAAGCTATAGAGGAATCACAGGAATGAGAGAAACAGCTGGGCGACTGCCCTTTTCCTGTGTATTAGCCTTTTAAGTAGATTTTTGTCCAAATTATTGACCTCATAGTTACAGCTAAAACCATATCCACATTTTAATATTACAGATGCTCCTCAATTTATGATAGGGGTATGTCCTGATAAAACCATCGTAAGTTGAAAATACCATGTCAAAAATGCATTTCATACACCTAACCTACTGAATATCATAGTTCAGCCTAGTCTATTTTAAGCATGCTCAGAACACTTACATTAGCCAGTTGGGCAAAATCACCTAACACAATGAATACAGTGTGGAGTATCATTTGTTTACCCTTGTGATGGTGTGGCTGAGTTCAAGCTATGGCTGGCTGTCACTGTCCAGCATCATAAGAGAGTATCATACTGTGCATATCACTAGCCAAGGAAAGATTAAAATTCAAAATTTGGAGTATGGTTTCTACTGAATGCACGTTGCTCTCACAAAGTTGTAAAATAAAAAAAAATTGTAAGTTGCTTCATCGTAAGTTGGGACCATCTCTATCAGAAATTGGTATCAGAGATATTTAATAGGTTTAACAGGTATTCACAAGTTGTCTATAAACTTGTTTCATCCATAGCTCTTAGGAGATGATGAAACAGCCCAACCTTTGAGATGTGTTATTGTGGCTATGACTTCAAGCTTCTTCCAATGATAAGGAATATAAGCCAGTAAAATTTACTTTTCACTGAAATATTACGTAAGTTACTGTTCTTCATACTGTGGACTGAACACTGCCTCCAACATAACTATCTGTAGAGTGATTCCTTAGTTCTATTTCAGGAGTTTCTGACTTTGTAGATCTGGTGTGCATTATTATGAGTTTCTAAAATGGTTCTTTATGCGCTGAGGTTTAAGAACCTCTCCCATAATGGATTAATACAGAGATTCCTGAAAGGCCCCCTGTGTGATTATGGACAAACTTCAGTATCAGGTGCAAAGTCAAAGAAAAATGAATTGCTGGAGCCAGTTCTCTTCCCAGGTTATTCTGTGGATGATTAACTCTGAGATGTTAGTGTTTTAGGCTATAAAACTTACATAATTAAGTTCGGGAAGTGCTGGGTTAAAGGTAAGTGAAATCATTTACTGGAGGATTTTCCAGATACTTAAACAGGCCGGAATGCAATTGGATTCTTCAAAGGAAGAACCCTTCATTCGGGGAACATTTCACAGGCTAGTTTTCTATAAAGTACAGTGGTGGGACTTAGTCCTACTTTACAAATGTGGAAACTAAAAACCAGGTTGGTGAGGAGACTGACCCCACTGCAGGAGAATTACTGAGCAGCAGGA